TTAGTTTATATTACAACAAAGCTCAACAGTATGTTCATAAGAGATCCATTAGCCCATGTAATTAGGTCAGACCCGGTTGAAACTTATAATGGCCTCGGTGCAGCCCAAACATTATTACTAGTACAAAATGCACAAAAGTAATGTAAATCAGGTAAAAAAGCATGAAGTTTTAGAGAAAAAATTAATATACACTGTCCGATGGGCATGTAAAAATTGAATTTGAAACTTCAATGTCAATAAAACAAAAACAAAAAAAAGATTCAAATTCTGGTGCAAAAGCACCGCCCGCACACAATCAAAACCGGACCTGAATTAGGTTAACCTAACAAAGTAGATTCATACAAATATGTCTCTTATGTAAACATTGAATGTAAATTTGAGGGTTGCTATCAAACAACTCTCTTCCTTCTTTGAAATCAATCTAAATCATTTTGGTCTTGTTGTTCTTATATCAAATTTTCATCTTTTACTTTCCTTGCATCTAAAAGAGCCCATAAGGGCAATTTCAATCTCTCTGTCTTATGTATTCTATTTGAGCATTTCTTGTTTTGAATTTGCTATCAGTTCAAACGCGAAGTACGACTCCAACTACTACATATGAGATTATGGAATCTAGTATGTGTTGTTATTAGTGATATTACCTTGTTTATACGACTAATGTTGCATCTTGAAAACATATGCATTTGCAAAATAATGACATAAGATTAAACGTTTTAATTAAAAATTCCCCAGAATACACTATGTAGAATTACTAAAATCTCAAAACCATATTTGATCTTATTATATAAATTTAGGTGTTTTTCAGAATCATATGCATTTCATGAAACATATTTGATTTCCAAAATTTATAAAGCTTGATATTAATTGCCCCTTTAATTATAGGACGAATGTACAATGTGAAATATAAGTACAAATTACCAAAATATATTATGTAGGGTTACCAAAACTCAAAATCATATTCTATCTTATTAGATAAAGTTTGGTGTATTTCATGAGAATTTCACAAGAAAAATTGCAATTAACAAGACTGAAACATGTGTTAATCACTCGATTAGATTTAGACACATGTCAAAAATATTTTTCCAAACGGATTAATTGAGACATGTCAATCAATCAATTATATTTTGACAGATGTCAAACATATGTTTGATGTCACTCCATCGATTAGATTTTGATAGTTGTCAATAAT